ACATGCTTGTAGAAACAGTGAAATAAGTGTTTTGGAGCTAAAACTTCCCTATGTTCTAAACCCACTTCACAGTCAATGGCAGTCATGCAGCTAAAATGCTCCTGTTATACTTTAAAGAAATTATTTTAGGTTGCCAGTTGATTATGGAGCAGAAATGCCAGAAAGGCCAGAGTCAAGTTTCTAAATGTGGGGATATCTAAACTGCACGTGGAACATACCAAGGGATCAAAAACAAACCAGACAAAAAACCACCCTACGGATGGCACCAGTACTACACAACTAAATGGCTTCTTAACTGAGTTAAATAAAAGGGACAGAAATATTTGCTTAAGCAAAAATGAAGCAGGTATTAGCGGGAGATGTGCAGAATAGTTTAAATGTAATGTAGGGAACAGGCTTAGATATTTATAATGTACACCTCGTGCTCAGAAAGTATATTCTTTGTGCAGCACTCCATACGAGTTCCTGTAACATTTGCTTTGGAAGGGAGGAGGAGTGGGAGAAGAAGAGGTGTACTGCTCATTTATTTTTCCAGTTGATCCCAGAGGGAGGAGAAAGCTTATGACAATTATACAATCGGTTCCTGAACTAAGAATGTTAAAATGGGGTTAACTGACTAGTTGATGGGCACTTCCGCATTCCCCCTCTGAAATGTACAAGAGCCCCTACTGGAGCCTGTGTAAATTTCAAAGGAAGTATGCAGAACTCCGGGCTGTATGTGGGTACCTGCTTTGAAATGCATAAGAGTCCCCAGTGGGGGCTCTTGTGCATTTCAAAGCCATGGAGCCCAGGGTCAGTGGGGGACTCACAGTTCCCCACTAACTCCAAGCTCCATGCTACACTGCATGCTGCTAGGAGCCCGGGGTCAGCTGGGGAGTCCCTTTGACATGGGTGGAGACGGCAGTTTCAAAGGGAAAGCCACCACACAGCTGATCAGCTATGAGGCGGCTTCCCCTCTGATACTGCAACCTCCGCCCGTTTTAAAGGGGCAGTGGATCCTAGGGACAGCTGGGGACACTCCAGCTGATCCCAGGCTCCCCATGGCATTTCCCCAGAACCCCGGAGGGGGGGGGGGGTGGGGAGAGATCGACTAGTCAAAATACTATCCGATAATCAAATGTTTATCGCATAGTCAACTTGTCTTACATCCTTATCCTAAACAGGGATTTCTCTACTACACCCCCTATGAACTCCATGACCCTATCCCCTTGGTCAGGTAGTCACACTGCAATATTGCTAATTAAGTTGCTTTTCAACCCTCCACTGTAAATTCGAACACCCTTCTAATTTCAATTCTTGGGGGAAGACTGTTTCCAAAGAATAAATGGACACAAATCAGACATCAAGAACGGTAACATACAAACGTAGGTAAGCGTATGTCTACACTACCACCCTAATTGGAACTAGGGGGGTTAATATAGGCAACCGAAGTTGCAAATGAAGCCCGGGATATTTAAATCCCGGGCTTCATTTTCAACTTCGGTTGCCTATATTAACCACCCTAGTTCCAATTAGGGTGGTAGTGTAGACATACCCTAAGAGAGCACTTTAGTCTCCCTGGACACAGAGTTACATATTTGAAAGTTGCCAGACTAGACCAAAAAACCTTCAAAAACAGACTGCAGTGTGAAACCACTGAGCTGGAATTCATATGCAAATTGACACAATCAGAATGGTCCTGAATAGGGACTGGGAATGGCTAGCTCACTACAGTAAGTAATTTTCTCCGTTAGTTATTCTCACCTTCTTATCAACTGTTGGAAGTTGGCCACAATCCACGCTGATTGAATTAGCCTAATTAGCACTGATGTAACACTCCCATTTCAGTATGTATGTTTAAATTCCTGCCAACTGAAGCTTTCGCTACACACATCTGACAAAATGACCTGCAGTCACAAAATCTTATGCCCTAATATACTTGCAAGTCTTTAAGATGCCACAGGGACTCATAGTAATAGAGAGGTGGCCGTGTTAGTCTGATATTGCTAAAACAAAAGGAAAAACTATGTAGCACTTTAAAGACTAACAAGATGGTTTAATAGGTGATAAGCCAGACCCACTTCCTCAGATCATATTCTGGAAGAGAACTGGCATGCCTCTGGAGATGACCTTTGCCTGTCATTCTTTAAAGCATGGACTGATATAGGTTACCCTGGGTTAACAACACCAACACCACCACCACTACTCTGGGTTAATAACAACAACAATGTAAAGTCCTGTGGCACTTTATAGTCTAACAGATTTATTGGAGCATAAGCTTTCGTGAGCAAAGACCCACTTCGTCAGATGCATCTGACGAAGTGGGTCTTTGCTCACGAAAGCTTATGCTCCAATAAATCTGTTAGACTATAAAGCGCCACAGGACTTCTCATTGTTTATGCAGATTCAGACTAACACGGCTACCCCTTTGATACTTAACAACGTAAAGGGAAGCAGTCCTTATAACACCCTTGTGCCTCTACCCGTGGCTTTATGGTAAAGTGGAGGAGGTATGAACTAAAGGGAGTGTAATCCCTTGAATGAAATGTTTATTCAATTTGCTTTGCTTTATTTGATGAAAATAACTTTAACATTCTGACATCACAGCATGGTGCTTGTTGACATCACAAAAGAGAAGCTAGGTAGGTTCGAGTGAGTTTTCATTTATGCTGCACTACTTGCTCATATACAGAAAAACTGATTTGTGGGACTATTAAACATGTAACACTGCACTCCATTTCCTTATTCCTTCCATGTCCTTTTATTTTGAGTTATGACTTATGCAGGCTGAACCTCCCTGGTCTGACACCCTCACGAGCTGACTGGCCCCGGATGAGGGATTTTGCCAGACAAGGGGAAGTCATTTTGGGCCTACTTGCCACTATCCCCCCTACCGCCCCATTGGGCTTCCTGGTTCCCCTGGACAGCTCAGGTAGGCTACACGTGGGCTTCCCGCCGCTTCCTCCCTCCCCACTTCAGCCCACCTGAGCCATGGATGTTGCCAGACCCTAGTGTCCCTGTTTATAGAGGTGCAACCTGTAATGGGATTTCAACCGTATAAATAAAAACGTTGTAGAATTAACCATGTGAATATTTTTAAAAAACATGGAAATAAATGCTCCCGTGTTTCATTTATAAACGGGATTTAAAGATGTGATAAAATGTTCACTTTTAAACCAATCAACTGCTAATTTTGATAATTCACCTTTAAATTAGTTTCTCCATAAAATTCCATTTGGCAACAGGAATCTGGAAATGTATGTCCCTTACTAAAACTGCACAAGGGCATCAACGTATAATACAGATGTAAACTGGCCTCATTAAATACTATTGCTAACAATCTTAACGTTCTCATAATCCACTTTTAAAATAAAATCATCTTTTTCATGTTTTATAGTTCCACTTCCAAACTCACAAAACTCCTGAAATGGGTTAAAAAACTACTCTACCTGTGACTACAATTTCATCAAGTGGAAGGAACCAGAGATACACTGAGTAAAAGGCTACATCTAGAGTGCCACTTTGTTTCGGAAAAAGGTATGCAAATTGCATTCCGCAATTGGCATACATTTTTCCAATTGATTTTTTGAAAGAGGCTTTTCTGAAATTTGGCCCGTCTACATTGGGCAAAATTTCAGAAAAACCTTCTCTTACGGAAGAGCCCTTCTTCTTCGTGAAATGAAGACGACAGGGCTTCCGAAAGAGCGCATCTGTTCTTCTGCAAAAATTGTTGGAAGAGCAGACGTGTTCCCTGGATGCAGTGGAGTTTTTTCCAGGATAAAACTCTGTAGTCTAGACATAGCCTGGAGTTTCTCTACTATGTTTATTATTACATAAAAAGCAAAATTAGGCAAAACAACAGTAATTCCACATTGCTTATAGTGTCTTCACTACAGCATCTGAAGTGCTAGAAATGTGGTTTTTTTCTTTGTTTTTTTGAGAGAAAGTGTTTTGTTCTCCTTGTTTCACTCATAGCCATCACTGAATCCAATAGCTATTACACAAACATGGTGAGGGACAAAGAGATACCCTTGCTTTACTCTGTAGCTATTCCTTGATTACAACCACTATTTATTTCAGGATGGTACTTGAAATTATTTTGGAATCTACTATATAACCCTTGGGTGCTGAACAGTTAACAAAAGCTTAAAAAAATTTTTTTTTTTTTAAGTACAAATTAGCGTACCATCTACCACATGGTGCAAAGCACTCCTGCCAAAAACAAATGGCTCTCATCAGATCTGCAGTACATTAGAGTTTAATTCCACTGGTTTCTGGCATAGTAGCTTAAAAGAAAAGCTGGAAGAATGCCAAACACCTCTACAGTTTCAAAATAATAATAAAAAGTAACCCCTTTGACTCCCCTGAGGGCCCTTTGAGCTACTTAATACAGTACATGGACTCTAAAAACAGCCCATATCCACCAGTCACTGAAACATTGTACCCAATAGTAACCTACCTCTCCCCCCAAAGTTCTCTCAGTACATTTCTTGTAGAATTCCCTGCCCCCACCCTTAATAAACGTGCATCTGGCATACATCAAACTATCAGATATTCACTCAGTACTTACACATCCATGTGATGGCCAGCACTCTGCAGCCCATCCCCCATCTCCTTTTCTATTGCACTCCATTCACTGAGGGAAGGGGGGGAAAAAAAGCAAATCCAGTGAGAAAAAACAACAACATCACACATACAGCTACAGAAAGTTAATAAGCTGCATCCTGTATATAGTTTCTCTCCAGGTGACATATGAACGGAAACTGCCTCAAAAGTTGTACCTAGCCAAACTGCTTTTTTACCTCTAAGCACTACTGAACAATTAAATAGTGAGACTACTTAAAGTATTCTTGTCAGGAGTTGTCTACTTCATCCCTCCTCGGGCACAGACACACCACACACACAGAGGTATGCTGTTTTATAGTTCCAGTTCAGGATTTTCAAAAGGCGGACATGAAAAGAATGGTGTGTTAATATTAAAGAGATTAAGACAAATACAGTACTTTCTAACAGAATTACAACATAAGGTTCGTTCTTTTGTATTGACACATTTAGTGCCATTATATGCAATACAACATTGTCTATAAAGCTGTTATACCAAATCTCAATATGAGAATGCTGGTTTTTTTAAACAAATAAGAAAATAACCATTATACATCAGCAAATCATCAGATAGCAACCAGCCACATCATACACTGGAAAACTTAACAGCATTCGAAGTAGAAACATTGAAATCTCACTTCTGAAATAAGACTCTCCAAACCATAGTTTTTTTCTTAGCATCATGGTATATTGCTGATTATTTCTATAAATAGATAAATTCACTAAGTCTCCACTCTACTAAAGAAGCCTAGAGTTACCAAACAATCTCATATACATATATAAAAAAAATATGATCAAACGTAATCAAGTTTGTGTATAACCAGAGTGGAGATGGGAAGCACTTAGAAGTTCACCACTGGTAAACCACAGTTGTGTTAATCTGAATATCTCTTCAAACCAAGTAACCCGTGCAGTTATCAGTTATCCTAAAAATGTAAACTCCCTCTTTTAAATATAGATTGTACTTTTAGTTCTCCTCCTCTTTGGGTAATTTATATCTAATATTTATTGTTTGATAATTTACACAATTTTTAAAAACTCTACTTGCTAATATTGACATTTGTTTACCTTTGTGTTATTGCAAAAAGGCACCTAATTTAATTTTAAACCCCCAGCCAGAAAGACATCTGAAATCCATTAACCTTGTGAATTAAATTTAGCACTTGTACAGATTGTATAAGCAGGAGGTTCCCCTTAACCAGAAGTTAGATTCTTTAATTCTCCAGCGAGATGGAAAACTTGATCATGGAACTCAGGAACATAAATACAAAACTATTGGTTAATTCCACTTGTAAAAAGTGTACTAGGATATAGGAGAGAGATTGTTGATTTTTTTGATGTATTAAAATGATAGGGATACCTTTTCCAACTATAGATACAATGTAATAATTTATTAATTACATCAATTAAAATAATAGAATGCATTCTGCAGGAACAACCAGTTTAAAACAAGTGACAGAAAAACAACAAAAATCATGAAGTTAAATTAAAAAAAGGCTAAAAAGTTCTGCAAATGTAAAGACATCTGTGTTAAATGCAGCAGCTTGTAAATGTCTTGGTATTGAGCAGTGACACTTTCAAATGCAAATATTTAGTAAAACAAATATATCAAAGTTTGCATTTCAAAAGTAAGGATAAATATACGTCATACATTACTTGCAAACTGAGCGTCAGGAAGCTAAATTATGTATTTTTAAAACCTGTTCTAATTCTTACCTGAACACTCTCCCATAATTCCCATGCACTTTGTATACACCATAGAGGCGGTCTGCCACTCTCTAAAAGAAACATTTGTATGAAAGAAAGAGTTAATTTTTAGACCAGATTCTTTTATATGCAATTTAATAGCTTCTTGTAAAACATACATATCAAGAAAAGACTAACATTTACAGACTAACCCTTCAGATCTACAGCTGTAATATCTCAGCAGTATACGAGATGAAAATGTTATTTTGAAAGAGCTAACACAAAGCTTTGACTTCTCTTTTAAGATCAGTAACGTAACTTTTTTTTTAAAAAAATGATGGTTTCAAACTATACTTAAATATCACGGTTTCAAACTATACTTAAAAATCACCCGTGACCATTCTACATAAGAACGCCTACTGAAATACCGTCATACAGGCTATATGTAGAATCCATTAACCGTTTTAGTTGGATTACCAACACCTGAGTTAATGTGAGGCGCAATTCATTTTACCTGTATAATGCTATTGTAAATGGACATCACACAGGGGGAATATGTATGTATGTCAGGGGGTTCGGGGAAGAGGATGTATATGAAAACAGGAAGACAAAAAATCAAGCTTCAGTTCAGAGCTGTAGTGAAGTCTCTTCCCATCTCTCATGCTGCATGGCCACTTCCCCATGCCATCCTAACAAAGGGCTTAAAAAAAGAACTGCAAAAGAAAGCTGGGTTTGTTTCAGAAAAAAGAACCTTCAAGGATTTTCCAAACAGAATAAAGAATCCAAAAAGGCTCAAGCCTATTTTTCCCTTCGTAACACAATGCTATAAAAATGGGAAATTAAGAGAGTCAAGCTCATCACAATACTTGCTGCTAAATCTAGAGATCAATTCATGTGTTTGGAGAATCAGAATCCTGCATACGCTACACTATTGGTAACTACACAATTGTTGATCTTTCCCTCAACTTTATACACTGAACTTTGAAGTGCAACTTATTTTTGTCCTTCACAATTATTAAAGCACTATATAAGTCAGAGAGTTAAACAGAAGTTTTATAAAAGCCATAATTATTCATGTGCTAAAGAGGTAAAAAGGAAGTTACTTAGAACACTGTCATACAGCTCATACACATATGTACTGGCAGGAAGGCAAGTTACTGGAGTACAAGCAATTAATCCTCTGACGTGCCTCCGCTCGACAGGTCAATCAATTACAATCCTCCCCTACAGCACACTTTTGCCAAAAAGTAACCCCCTGTTGAATACGCTAAAAACTAGCATTGTGCTCCTTGTTACCAGGGTTGTAATTTCCTATTTCCTTCTCTGCTTTGCATATTTGTAAGCTTGTGTTTTCAAGCCATAGGAGACAGCCATCCAGATTCCATGACATGATTGTTCTAATCATTCCAAAGGACATTATTAATTACAGACTGGCCTGTAAGATGAAATATTGTGGGGACCTTGCATAACTCACGTTAATTCTATAACACAAGCTCCACAAACTCTGGAAAACACAATATTACATGTTTATGTTGCAGAAAATCTCATGCCATTCTAACTCCTTTTTGCCACGAGAGAAAGGCAGAATCCTGCTAACTGAATGGTGAGGACTCAACATTTTCTAGCAGATGTGGAGCTCTGGCCCGCTTGTTTCTTCCTCCAGTGGCAGTATACATAAAGGAGAAGTAGTAATGCTATTCTGCTCTTCCCCCTTTCCTCTGAATTGTAATGGAAGATGTATATCTTACTCTCAGGTAACAGTTTACTTTGCACTTCTCACTATTTCTGTGAAATATGCAATGTTATGCTGCAGATTTTGACAAAATGTGCAACAAACGGGTATAAGCACACTCCAAATCACTACATGTCTTGATTATTACTTTGGATGTGGTTCTGATGTATCAATTGAATTCCAAAGATCTACTGCCCCAACTAAGTTCCAACTACCCTTTCTCCCAATTCTCCAAGTGATTTTCATGGCCTTTTAAATTGCCAATATACTTATAAATTACTGCATGTAAACTATTCTACAAGACAGAATAAAGCAATGAGCCAAACAGCATCATCATAAATGTTTCTGGAAGTATCTGTAAGCATTTGTTCAACTAGAAATCCATAGTGTAAAAACAGTCACTCAAAAAAGACCATCAAAACTTGAATAAATCAGATTAGGGAACAATACTGTAGATAAAGCAATTGCTTTACTCCACGCACTTTCAGAATTCCTCCACCCCCCAAAAGTGTATGGTTATAAAAGAACATCTCATCCCACCACCCTTCCAAAAAAAGCTGGACAGTACAACAAACCAACTTCAAGTGAAGAATACAAACATCAGTTTTCTCTATTGATTAAAGAAGAAATTCCGCCTTTTAAATATCGTATATTATTTGTCAGGACACACATGGGAAATACTTACAGCTCTGACTCGCAGAAGGTGCGATATGACAGACTGCAGTTCATCGCTATAGTGTTTTAGCTCAGTAAATCTCCTGGGAACAGGAAACAGATAGTACATCATTAGCTATCACAAAAACAAGCTTTCACAAATTGTAAGATAGAGCCACAACACAACAGCTGGAGACACAGAGCTTGACTTATGTTGAAGTTGAATTAGCTGTGGATTCCTAGAAAAATGACAACAAAATTAAAATCCTTTCTGGAAAATAATTGCACATATGCAAAACTACTGTACTTTTAATAACAGTAAAGGTTCAGATCAATGTATATGCTGTAAATCTAAGAAATATAAACCACTGGTTTTCTCCCCCCATTCCCTGAAAAACTGCTGTTTTTGTTTTTTTAAAGAGCACTTATGAAGTGGAATGTTATCTAACAGATATGATCTAAAAGATCAGGAAGAAACTTCTCTTTTAAAATCCATTTCATGGGTTTTATGCTTATTAATGAAAAACCGTTTAAATTCTTTTGAAGCTAATAAAATATTGCCTGTACTTACAATGTTCCTTTCATGCAAGAATCTCAAAGAACTCTAAAAAACCATTAACTTAGCCTCAGAATACATCTTATGTATAAAATGGATATCATCATGGCCAAGCTGAACCCCAGAACAGTTTGCTGACTTGCAAAAAGCTTCAAGAGGCCATTTAAGACCAACTTAAACTTTATTTTGAAGCTTTTAGATATGAACCCCAGAACAGTTTGCTGACTTGCAAAAAGCTTCAAGAGGCCAGTACCAAACATATACACCATTTAAGACCAACTTAAACTTTATTTTGAAGCTTTTAGATACATGGTGTCCAACCTGTTCTGAAGCAGTAGCCATACTTAACCAACCAAATAACCTTGTGGCTAGTGTTACAGTAGCATGTTGGACACCACGGCTTTAGATGGTGCAGAGGAATGTGTTTTATCCAGGAATAAGGCAAGGAGTAGGAGCTAAACAACAAGGAGCTAAACAACTAACTAAACTACTGAATAATGAACTGTCACTTCTTGTAGTAGTAAAAAAAGTGAATGTCTAATGTTGGGTTTCTAAATTCTTAATAAGGCACCTCTATATAAGCAGTCTGATTTCAGAAATACTTGAATCCAGCAGGTCTCATGGGGGGGGAGGGTGAGGGGGGGAGGAAGAGGGGCAAAACAGGCCACCTATTTAGGTGGCTAATTATGAATCTAAGAAGAAAAATTTCAGCACCCGTTAAACAAAAAATCTTTGCTTATACCACATGTTTCTAATATTTAGGAAATTGCTTCTCAGGGCATCCTCAGAAAAGGCTATTTATATTTATGCCTTCTATGCCTAAAGAGAGTTTTCCACAAAAATGTGTAGCACGTTAGGGTTAAAGTGTACCGTTTCTTTCAAATCATTTAAAGACCAGCAGAAAATTATTGGGAAACACAAATACAGCCATTGATTTACATGGTGGGATTTAGAGGGTAACCCTTTTAGCTTACCTTTTATAAAACATATGCCAGGACAGTCTGTCAGACAGCTGAAGATGTGAATGGCAAAGAAATATCAAGAAAATAAACTTGCAAGAAAGATTTTAGATAGCTCTTATTCCAAACAGATGAAGACTGAAAATGGACAGCCCAGGATGGGAGAGGATTACCATACTGTCACTAAATCCAGGAGACCATGTTCTTCTTGCTAAAATCTATATACTGCCAACTAAGAAAATGTTATCTTAGGTGGTTCTGGGGTGCTTATTACCTTTGGTATCTAAAGCTCCGTGCATACCTGTCAAAGCTGGTGTCATTTTTCACCATTCCTTGACAACCAGGGATATGTAAACTTAAATTTCAGTTCTCTGAAAAATAACTAGGGAAAAAACTTTTGTTTTTTTTCCAATGATTTCTGTTTAGTTCATTATTAAAAATATTCATCTAAACACTATTATTCCAAGCTACCTGAAATTGGAAAGGCAAGCTAGGGATACCTTTCTGCTCTTGCAACTCCAACAGTAAAAATGATAGAGCCAGAACATGGCTGAACCATCCTGTTGAGAATGCAAACATTATCAGGAAAGTCCAAAACTATTTCCCCAGCATCTCAGCTGTGTAGCATCTGCAGTGCTATCAAGAGTAAAACATATTTTAATGTGTTAGGGCTAGTCTACACAAGTAAGTTAGGTTGACTTAACTACATCACTCATGGCACTGAAAAGCTTCATGTCCTGTGAGAAGTAATTATGTGAACTTAAGCTCTGATATAGACACTGCTTGGCTAATGGAAGAATCCTTCTTTCTACCTACCATGTGTAGGAGAGGTGGTTTTACTAGAGCAACAGAAGGCGGCCTTCTGTAGCTGTAGTAAGGGCCTATGCTACAGCAGTGCAGCTGTAGCACTGTGGCCATGCCACTGCAGTATTTTTAGTACAGCCAAATCCTTAGGAAAATAGGGCTTTCAATGCAGATGAAAAGTCGATAAGCTGAGTTAGATGCTGCTGCCTCTTCAGGCTAGAGCCACATTTTAATAGGAATACTACCCATTAAAATAATGCTGGATGAAAATACTTCACCTATTGTTACTACTCATCCTACTTAAGATGAAAATAACTGAATAACAGAATTATTCCTTTTTTCATTTATTGAAATGTTATAATTACAGTATAGAATCTGTTTTATTCATTTGCACAGCAAAGAGTGGCTTTGGGGGCTAAAAGGTTGGTTTTGGAAGTGTGGGAGCAAAAGTATCTTTCACTTTTGATGAAAGATATTTTTGTGCATTGATAGCACTGTCTTCAGTGAAAGTTACTGTAACCATAGTGAGTTTCACCTTCGCAAAACAACAGGGGAGTGAAAGGTATTTTTAAGTATAGGTTTGTGGGCAAAAAGAAACCACAAATGGCATGGGGACTAGGGATCAAGTGTACTACTGAAAGTCACACCGGTATAAGCAGAATCGATTGCCTAATGGGAGTCAGCCACATTGGTATTACCCATCTCTTTTTCATTCTGTTTTAGGAAAGTAGCTAGTGCAAAAAATTGTTATCCGACGGACTCTATGAAAAAGAACAATTCAACATCAGGAAACAATTTTTGATTGGATTTGAAGTACAGAAGAAAGACAACAGGATGTTTGGAACAAAACTGGATTAGAGAATTCAGTGGAAATGTCACTGCAAGTTTATTTCTGAGCAACAGAAGAGCACATTTTTATCAGCACTGACCTCTTCAATAAAAAACACTCAGCCTACCAGAACAGCTTTGGTTTTGTTCCAAACCAACTTCAGTAGTTAGATTTTGAAATGCTGTGTTGCTATCCAACTTTCAACGGTTGGTTTAAATTAAGGATTGGGAAAGCTACTGATATATACTAGCTCAGGGACTAAGACTACTAGCCAAGTGAAAGATACTTTTGCTCCCACACTTCCAAAACCAACCTTTTGGCCCCCAAGCCACTCTTTGCTGTACAAATGAACAAAACAGACTCTATACTGTAATTATAACATTTCAATCAGCCATGTAATACACTTGTAAAAAAAAAAAAGTGATTTGCCATTAGGGCTAGTGACACCACAAAATAGCAGGAAAAAAGTGTCCAATATTAGTTACTGAATTCCCCAATCTGTTGAATCTATTATATATTTTGAAGAGTGAGTGAGTTTGTGGATTTGTTTGTGCAAAATAAAGTCATACTTCACGATTACACTTACATACCATATTTTGTATAAACAATCCTGCTGCTTAAATTAGCTGAATGCACTACTTTTTACATGGGCTATACTGAATGAAAGGTTAAATATTAATTGAGTGAATATGCTGGGTGAAAGGTTTAAAGAATTATTTTTGTTTTTCACCAGAAAAAAGTCATGACTATTATGATTAAAAGTTCATAAAAAATATTTGCTAACAAAATTAAAATTGAGTCTTCTATTCAACTGTCATTTTAGTGCAATGAAAATGTTTTACTGTTACAACTCACAAGATAATTCAAATTAGTTATGGAAAAAGTAATGAAGCTTTATGAGTTTCTGATTCAAATTTACTGTGCATGGTAATTATTCAATAAAATGAATAATGTTTGAAGTTGAAATACTACAAATTTAAAACTGTTTTTACTTCCCTTTTGCAAGCACATTAATAAAAACTTCTATTACAATTATTTAATTTGTCGAACTTTCCTATAAGTGTAATCTACACAAAATGATTTTGCCCGGTCAACGATGGGCCTTACATGCTAGTATTATATATTAGTCAATAGCATTTGGTTTCCCATTGGGGAGGCTGAATATCACAAGCAGCAACTGGCAAATAAATCTGTTAAATATCGGTAACATCCCTCATATAACCAACTTGATAAATGTTATTCAACAAGCTCTCTGCTACCCTTGCTTTTATTATATCTTATTTCCATTCCTGTCTGTATGTTCCTTTTTCTTTCCAAAAAGAGATTAGGCATCTTTTCCTTAGATATATTTAGTATCAATTTTCTTATCTCAGTCATAGGAAGGATCATTAGACTATATAATCTGACTTCCCATGTACAACAGACCAACAGCATCCCCTACTTCTCTCTTTTGCCTTCCCTTTCCCACTACAATATGTTCTTTCTAGGGATGTAAGCAAGTAGTTGAGTGGAGTACTCAACTACTCGCTTCTCCCTGCTCCTCACCCCACTTGCTGCCTCTGCGATAGCAGCCTCTGTTTGTGGTGGCCAGGGCTGGCCACAGACAGGGGCTGCTGACGGAGCAGCCCCTGCCCATGGCCAACCTGGGTTGCCATGAACAAGGGCTCACACCAGTCCGGGAAAACCGCGTCTCTGCATTACATTTTAAAATGCAGATGTGCAGTGGTGCCAAAACCGGCACAAGCCAGGAGAGCTTAGTCCTGGCTCACATCGGCTCCAGAAGCCACCCGCATTGCAGCTCTGCATTTTAAATGTAGTAAGAGCCATTGGACTCTTATTACATTTGAAATGCAGAGCCAGAGTCAGCAAATACCAACTACACGATTAGCCGATTAACTGCTCTAACATTCTTAGTTCTTTTCTCAACATCTCCTTTCCAAGTCTCTCTATAAATACTGTATTACTCTTTTCTGTGTTACCTCACTCTCTCTCTCCCTCCCATTAGCAGCAGCCTGGTAAAAAATCCAAACCCTAACACTAACAGTCACAGACTAATGAAAAAATATTGGGGAGGAGGCAATAATATCCAAACAAGGGCCCAATCCTACTTTTAGATGCTAGAAAAGAGGAAGGAATCATCTCTTCACATACCTTCTTTAGAGTTCCATCCTTTAGTTTCTGATGAATGTTAAGGAGCACCATAGTGTTGGAAGGAAGAATCAAAGAATACTAGAACTGGAAGGGACCGTGAGAGGTCATCTAGTCCAGTCCCCTGCCCTCACAGGGCATCTAGATCATTCCTGATATATGTCTGTCTAACCTGTTCTTAAATATCTCCACTGATGGAGACTCCATAATCTACCTTGGCAATTTATTTCAGTGTTTAACCACCCTGAGAGTAAGGAAGTTTTTCCTAACATCCAACCTAATCCTCTCTTGCTGCAATTTAAGCCCATTGCTTCTTGACCTCTCAGAGATCAAGGAAAACAATTTTTCTCCTTCCTTTTTGTAACATCTCTTTAGGCACTTGAAAACAGCTATCATGTCTCCTGTCTTCTCTTTTCTAAACTAAACAAACCCAGGTCTTTCAGTCTTCCCTCACAGGTCATGTTTTCTAGACTTATAATTTTTGTTGATCTTCTCTGGACCTTCTCTAATTTCTTCACATCTTTCTTGAAATGTGGTGCCCAGAACTGGACACAGTACTCCAACTGAAGCCTAATCAGTGCAGAGTAGAGCCGAATAATTACTTCTCATGTCTTACAACACTCCTGTTAATGCATCCCAGAATAATATTTTGGGGTTTTTCCCCCCCAATGGCATCACAGTGTTGACTCATATTTACCTTGTAGTCCACTATGACCTCTAGATCCTTTTCTGTAGTACTCCTTCCTAGACAGTCGCTTCTTATTCTGTATGTGTGAAACTGACTGTTCCTTCCTAAGTGGAGTACTTTGCATTTGTCCTTATTAAACTTCATCCTATTTGCCTCAGACCATTTCTCCAGTTTGTTCAGATCATTTTGAATTATGACCCTATCCTCCAAAGCATTTGCAACCTTTCCCAGGCTGGTATCATCTGCTAACTTAATAAGCGTGCTTTCTATGCTAACATCTAAATTGTTGAAGATTTTGAACATAAATGGTTCCAGAACTGACCCCTGCAGAACTCCACTTGTTATGCCCTTCCAGCATGACTGTGAACTATTAATAACTACTCTCTGAGAATGGTTATTCAGCCAGTTATGCACTTTGTCTCTTGGTTCCTTCTGTCCCATTACAGACTATCCTGGGAGCTCCAGGAATCTCTGCTATTTTACTCCTGTGCCACTTTCCTAGGTGCTAGAGAGAGAGAGAAAGAGAGAGACACTCTCTTGTATAGGTGGTTCCAATGTTCTACTGAGGGGATGCATTAACTGCATTTCATCCCTTTCTGGTTGGTTTTACTCACCATTACGTAAGTGCACACTTCAATCTGGCACTGCAATCCTAATCCTGGTCCACTGAAAAGCCTGGGGGTATCTGGGAGAGTAGGCCCACCTGCAGACAGCTTCTGTCTCATGAGGCAGGGCCCAGCTCCCCACCCCATGTGTTGCAACCTGCCACACAGGATCTCAGTGCCACCATATTTGAGGTGGCCAAACCTGCGTGGCGCTGAAGCCACGTGCACAAGGTTTCATTAGCTACAGTGGGGAAATCATGCTCCATTCAATGGGAAACGAGCACCACTGTGGGGTGAATGCAGAGCAGGCTACCTCTCCAAAACCCCACTCCCTTCCTATTTGTATTTTCTTTTTCACACCAGGCTTGGAGAAGTATATTTTTGCATAGGCCAGGGTCCAATAGTGGCTTAATTCAGCCCTAGACATAATGAACTGTCCATAGTCCATAGGGCTGGAGCATCCACAGAAAGAAATTAGTCTGTGCTTAGCACCTACTGGGGACCAGCTCCTTGCCTCTCTCCCAGCACCATCCACCCGCCATGATCAGCTGTTCCATGGTGTGCAGGAGTCTCTGTGGGGAGGAGGAGTGGGGACAGGGTGCTTAGGGGAGGGAATGGACCTAGCAGGAGGCAGCAGAGCAGGAGTGGGAATAGGCAGAGCCTTGAGGGAAGGCGGGGCCTGGGGCTGAGCAGGGGTTGAGGACCTCAGGGAAAGGAAGAAGCTAATACCTTTGGAACTATCTGACACCTTGACCCACTGTTTCAGAAACCACTGTCCTATACCATCTCCTTCTGGCTGAAATGAACTATTATATACTCCCCACACTTCAGCCTGTTAGCGAGTCCTCTAGCCAGCTCTGCAGGTTAGTCCTCTGGCTAACAGCTTCCCAAGACACAGTAGACGGAAACTGATCTGAGTTGCCCAATGGCAGCTGTGAAAATGTCAGCTTGGAAGGAAAATTATGAACTGCACCACTGGCAAGTGCATCCATGTGTGTGCGTATACATATACATATACACGAGATATTAGCGCCATACACTTGCTGGTTTAGGAAAGTACCACTATATCAATTTGCTTTCAGTTCACTTTGGGAAATGTTTTTTGCTATTTTGTTATATTCTGCATAAAGTGATGGCATTTCCCTTAAGTTTCCCCTGCTATCCCTGGGCATGTCTACATAGCAAACCCGTTATTTCAAAATAAATTCAAAATAACAGGCTTCTTACTCAAACTTCTGTAAACCTCAACGTATGAGGAATAAGGGAAATTGGGGGGGGGGAAGGGTTATTTTGAAGTAAGTGTTTTGTAGATATGCCTAAAGTCAAAATAAGCTATTTTTACTAAAGCTGCGCAAATGACATAGCTTAAGTTGCATAGCTTATTTCGAGTTTAGCCCTACTGTGCAGACATGCCCCTTGTAAACTGGATTTTTCAAGCCACTTTTTACTGTCCCTTATTAGGTTTGTCACAGAGATTTTTTTTAAATGTACAGATAGCATACATTCCAAAATGAAAAATTACATAGCTGGAATACACAAAAGCGGCGAGGAGTCCTGTGGCACCTTATAGACTAACTGAAGTGTAGGAGAATAAGCTTTCGTGGGCAAAGACCCACTTCGTCAGATGCATCTGACGAAGTGGGTCTTTGCCCACGAAAGCTTATGCTCCTACACTTCAGTTAGTCTATAAGGTGCCAGAGGACTCCTCGCTGCTTTTGCAGATTCAGACTAAAACGGCTACCCCTCTGATACATAGCTAGAATACACTACCATTCATAATTACAATTATAATTAGTATGAAAAATCTTACTTGTCTGGGTTTTTCACTCTGAATGTTGCATTAAGAGCTTTTAATCTGGAGTCTGCCTGGAAAAAAAAGTGCCATAATGCAATTATATTTCAAAAACATCAAGCAACAAATTCTCTTTGCTGGCAGTCACAGTAGAGAGCTGTAGTTGTCTATCACAGTACTTCTTCAAAGATTTCAAATGTACTGAACAAGTATGAGTTGATGTCAGACTGCTGTTAAAGACTGGTCCGCACTAGAAATCTAAACTGTTCTGTGAATTAGCAAGTAAATAGTATCCAATAACATTACACTAGTATAACCCTAAACCCGAGCAAAATATTATTTTCTTAAAATATTACACAAGCCACAAAATTAAGATATATAACCCTACATTCTTTTCAGTTGATGCAAGTAGGTCTAAGGCCATATAGACACATTATCTTCTGTATTTTTTCAAACCAAATAAAACTAATAGTGGAAATGACTTTTATATGCTCTGAATTACTAAAAATAGTTCCCCATTGGCATGAAACGCAAATCTATTGTGTTCTCTCATTTGAAGAGTTACTGCAGAGGAAAATATATCTGTCTATGGATGAGAATTAATGCCAGCTTTTTGATGCAGTGTTAATTTTCAGTAGATAGGAAACTGCTATATTAAATCACAAGTTGGATCACTAGATTTTCATCAGTAATGACAAACAGTTGCCTAAATTAAACTTTCTGTTCTGTTTTTGAAAAAAGATATTCTATACTTCTGTTGCAAGCATGGATAGAATTCCCAACACTAATTCTTGCGTTTGTGGCTTAATTTTTTAGAATTAATGATTTTTTGTGTTTATAAAAAAGCAACAGACCTCCACTTATGTTATTTGTTTTACTGTGGTTCCTATCACTGTAATATCTACATATCCTGGTCAGTGGGACCCCACTGTGCTAGACACTGTACGTGCAAGAAGTCAGTCCCTACCCTCAGATAATAAGGCCTTTAAGAGCATGGCTACATGGAGATACTAAAAAAAATTACGACAAATTAAAGGTGAAAGGTGGTAAGTTGGAACACATGGAGTCCCTATGTGGATAGTCTTCCTCAGAGGTTACCTGAGTTCATGTTAGCTTAATCCTTCTTCAAATTAAAAGAAGTAGGTTTAAAAAAGTAGGCCTGTGTTCAAGAGTTTACTTTCCTGTGCACATTACACTGCTGAAAGCAAATCATGCCACTATTTCTGGTGCAAATAGCTGTCACTAAGAGTCATAATTCACAACTATACCTTCTGGTAGAGAGAGTTTTTAGCAACAATGTTTGTGACAGGAGTAATATTTTGTGCATCAATTGCATCCAAGTTAGCAAGTCTTAGGAACAATTTTTTTAAAAAGTTATTTAGAAACTGATTCCAGTAGAACCCAGTGCTCTCCTGGAGTTAGTGTGGAAACTTTCCCTTCATAAGCTTTTCTGTAACTTCTATTTATGAGATTGGCACTGGTATGAGACTATCTTACCTCTCTTCACATAGTGTTCAAGCTGTACTGTGTTTGAATTTTAGTCTAATACCTTGATGCTAGGATCTCATCTCATGTTGGTAGCAGGCTGAGAACAATATCTGAGCTCAATTAAAAAGTAATTCTGCTACTGTGATTTGTATAATACTCATCAGTAGCTGTCATGCCAAAGTGTGGCCTAGGAATAAAAAGGAATAATTTTCAAGTAGTTATGTTTCTTTCCCAAACAATCCCAGCATTCTACCGACTGAGGGACAAATATCCCAGACCCCCTATAGACACCACTCAAATTGTAAAGGAAGGACTTTTTATATTATTAATATTTTATTTAAAAATAGATTAGCTAGTTTTTAACAAAGGCAAATGACAGGTGTTAAGACTGGCAGCACCTTAGTTATGCAATCTGTTTCATCTGAGCACTCTGAATCTATTTGCTTGCTTTACAGACAGCTGTTGAAACTACAGCGCTAAGAGTTCTCTGGGAGAGCAAAATAGTCAATTCTAAATTAAGTTGTGAATGAATCAAAAGGATTAACTACATTCCATTCCAGGGCCAAATTCTGCCCTCTTTTGATGCCAATGGAGTTTTATAGGTGTAACTAAGGCACAATCTGTCTTACAAACTCTTTACTATTAATGAAGCATAGAGGAGGAAATAACACAGCATGACTTATTGTGCATTAAGAATTTTACCATTTTTATATTCTAATTTCAAACAAAATCATACTACAAGCTAGGTAAGGGTTATCAAAACTAGAACAAGTTTGTATAGGGTTCTGGACATTTTTCTAAATTGAGAATAGATTCAAAAAGAATTTAAAGAGGTGGTTAAATGGAGTGAATACTTGAAGTGGAATTGGCTGTCAACTAACACAGTCAGGTAGCTTTCAAGCATATAAGCAAAAACTGGATGACAATATGAACAGAGCAGTTAAAAAGAGGTATTGGATTTGTGCTCAGGAACAGACAGTGAAGTTTTGTTGAGAGTTAGGAGGTGCGGGTTAGGAAGGAGGAGAAAAAAGAATTGTACACCAGGTTTTCCCTCCCTCAGATTAAGTATGACTGGAGTGCATTGTGTTTTGTCCTCCTAGAGCAAAAAAGCTTGAAAGAATTTTTAAACATGTTCTAAATTTCAGTATTTGGGGATAGGGGAAAAGCATTATAGCTGGCAATGACAGAATTTTAGCCGGCAATGACAGAATTTTAGCCAGGGGGTAGCCAAGGCAATCCAAAATAAATAAATAAACCTCCCTGGTTTAAACACAGCCTCTTCATCTGTTTGACTAATGTACTGCAGTATCTAATTAGTCTGCAAACTCTTTGAAGTCAGGGAAAAATGACAGCAAATGGCCCATGTTCTGCTTCTGGTCCTGCATAACTATGCACTCCAAGTATAAATCTGCCTCTGATATTATTAAACTATCATAAGGAACCAAGTCAATTAGCTTATTAAAAACATTTTCACATTCAGCAAAGAAACAATGTGTAAAAGCAAGGTTTAGCAAACGAAACAGAAAGGCTCCATTCCCTTTTATTTTATAAAGAGTTAACATTTTCCTTAGGGAAGCAGAGATTCCAGAGAGAAAATAACCATGCACACTGTCTGAAACCTAGAAAGCAGAATGGCAATTGTTTTATCTCATATTTTACCTAAGATATCATCTGTCCTGAGACAATTGTTTATTTTGAATATTTTGCAGGAATTTCACTGTTGTTCTTTGGGTCCCTTCTTCCCCACTCAAGTAACCTACATTTCAATAAAGCTAAATGAACTCAAGAGATCATGTTTTCCTGACCATTGAAACAGAAGCTATATTTGTCTCACTTGCTCTTACACGTCATGATTTTCTCCTTCTTCCACTATTATTTTGATGTATCTACGTTAAGTTATTCCTAAAAGTTTAATAAAATCTCTTATGATCTTCCCACCATTTTCAATACAACTAACAAGTGTTTGTCATTACTGTTATCAAGCAGACTAAAACAGAAGCTTTCATTAACTGATGATTTTAAGGTATAAGAGATATACCATTTAAAAACATGAATTAAAGGTACCATCTGAATGCATTGCAAAATATGATGTGCTATCAGTAATTTTAAATGATGGTTCAGAAAATTGTCTTCCGTAGTTTTTAACACTTACAGAAGCAGTGCAGGGATAAGATTAAGTTTTTCCAAAAAGGTCTGTCAAGCAGATGTTACATCCACATAGCAGCCCATAAATAATCAAAAAGTTAATAAAAATGTGGTCATTCTGGCAAATGAAATGAATACTAAGGAAAACCATTGAAAATGTTATTCCTATTTCTGCACGTGCATCTTTTACATTTATAATATTTTATCTTTTTAATATACCACTTTATTACCCCTCTCACACTGTTTCCCCTCTACTATTATGTGCCATTTATATTTCTTCCTGAATTTACAGCTTAACTCCTTGGCTGATAAATGATAAGGAATACTTGTCTTCTTGCGTCACCTATTTTTTCCACTGAACATTGACCCTTAATCGCTACATGGAAAATCCCATTCTCCATTAAGTGTTTCAGTTCTCTATATGCCTCAATGTATAGAGCTGAACAGTTCGTTACAAACTTTTTTTTTTTGTTATTGTTAAGAGTCCGCTTTCAGGACTCTAGTGTCATAAAGAAATTGCACCTAGATTAAAGGTCCTGGATGCCTACCGGTGCTAGAAGGGACACCCCAAGACAAAGGTCCACCACAAAAGCACAGATATTTAATCATAATTGTGTGTCAGAGACCCTAAATTCTGCAGCAGCTTCAGATAAATAAAAACTCCATTCTCATTTAGTAGGAAAAATATGTAAAAATAATATTGTATTAGTGTAATATTTAATTAAATCTTAAATTAAATTTATTTAACTCTGCCTCTATATTTTTAATTTTCAATTAGTTGCAGCATCTTTATTGAAGCACTGAAGATGTGGTATGTATTTGCTACATGTTTTGGCAGGGACGGAAGCTAGAGGCTCTGGTACATAAGAACGGCCATACTAGGTCAGACCAAAGGTCCATCTAGTGCAGTATCTGGTCTTCCGACAGTGGCCAATGCCAGATTCCCCAAGGAATGAAGGGAAACAGGTAATCATCAAGTGATCCCTCTCCTGTCATCCATTTCCAGCCTCTGACAAACAGAGGCTAAGGACACCATTCCTACCCATTCTGGCTAAATGGGTAGTAGGTGGACAAAGGATATGTAGATGCAGATTTTCACACTAGGAAAGTAGTTTGAAATTATGGGATAAGGACGTTAGCAGGATGTACCCAATAATACAATCAGCAGTGAATTAAAGCCAAATTGCCATCAGCATTAGATGCCAACATTAAACCATCTTATCATTAATGGGGCAGATCACACCCCAGAACTTTTTTCAGGCTTTCAGCAGAATCAGGACAATGGTACTCCATTTATTCACACACAGTTCACATTCGAAAGATTTTCTTTGCAAACAAGAGAACTAGACACATGTATCTGAGCCTGCGCGAAGACGACTTAGACACTATATTTTGCACCCACAGAGACTAGAGTACAACTGGCTATGCACAAAAGTTGCATCGGTCAACAAATTCCCATGGATCCATACTTTGTCTGTGTTCCTGCCTGTCCTCCACCAGTTCTCCCTCTCCCACTATTGACTGTGATCAGAGTATGGGTTACTCTTGTTAGGAGTCTGTCCTAAACAGGTGTTCAATTTTCTTCTCAACTGCTTCCTATAAGAAGTCAGAGGAGTATGACTACCACAAAACTAATTCAAATGAGTCTAATTAAGCAAATAAAATTCTGCATAACGTCTCTAGTATGAGACTCAGCAACAGTTAAACTAGGCAGATATATCTTGGATTACTTTCATTACTAGGGAGCACTGTCCTCTTTCCCCTATGGCCCTTTTGGCTACTTGTCCAATCAGAGACATCTGGTCTTGGCCATCTCTGCTTTTCTTCTGTTTAGCTCAGGTTTTCCTGAGGTTCCTAACTTATCATATCAAAGCCCAAGGTGTATCTCAAAATTCACTCAGAACTGTATTCAGAGCTTTGGCTAAAGTATTTCAGTTTCTATTGGCATGTCCCACCTCTTCACCCTAAATAAACAACCTCTACTTCAAGGCTGCCAACCTTTAGAGCTGGCTTTAATAGTCTTGCTTTGGCATGTTATTTGTCTAGGTTGGTGTAAAAATACAGGGTTCATAATTCTTAACATTAATTCTACATTGTGTTACATATGAATCATGGACAGATTAAATGACCTGTCAAAGCTTCCTTCACTTATGAAATCTGCTAATTATCTGTTACATAACACCAGTGCTACACTGTTTCCTTATATGGTCAAAATTATGCAGTTTATCATGGGCCTGCTATTTTTAACATAACAGCAAGCATAACTCTGCACAGACACCGAATTACATGTCTTCAATTGTGGTCAGACTGGTTCACACAGTTACAATGCATACAATAATTACCTTTAACTGAAACCCAGTTTCATTCACCATTTCTTTCCATCCGCCTTCCTAGAAATAAAAGTTTCACATCAGTAATTCTCTTTGATAAACACACAGCAAGCACAAGCTCTAAGACACATGATAATAGCATCATTTGTAAGAAGAAAGGACACTGGAGAATCCTCTTTGGATTATGTGGGAACCACAAGCATCCAAACTTTGGCTAAGTCCTGCCCTCCAGACCAAGTTTTAAAAAACCTTCCTTTTAGAATAATAGGTCAGTTATGCTTATCCATCACCCCTCTTTACAACTTGTCCCTTCACTATATGACAGCTGCAGGCTGCATTATCCCATGTACTTAAAAAGATTCTTGTCTGATGAGCGATTTATATTTTATAAGAAGAGGGGTAATGGCAGAGTCACTTCTTTAATGTTTCCAGCCAATACCAACTCCAGGACTGACACTGAGAGGAGGCCCCAGTCTGCCTGATTTCTAGCTAATTACACCATCTGCTAAGTCCAAATGAATGAACCACTTTTCAAAACAGCGCACCTCCAAAATAGGACATATTATTTATGTAATAAAAAAAAGTCAAGAAACTGAAGTGGTATAATGGCAATGTTCAAACTTAAAATTGAAAACTGTTCTTCTATATTGTCTAGATAACTCAGGTGATAAACATTCTATTTGTTCACAATACATTCCTCTTAACCCACAGAAGAATACTATACATGTTGGCTACGTCTACACTGGCCCCTTTTCCGAAAGGGGCATGTTAATTTCACAGGTCGTAATAGGGAAATCCGCGGGGGATTTAAATATCCCCCGCGGCATTTAAATAAAAATGTCCGCCGCTTTTTTCCGGCTTTTAGAAAAGCCGGAAAAGAGCGTCTACACTGGCCCTGATCCTCCGGAAAAAAAAGCCCTTTTCCGGAGGATCTTATTCCTACTTTGAAGCCGTTGTGAGCTGAACTGTAATAGAGAAACTTTCACAAATAAGAAATAATATTAAGAAAGCAGGGGTAAATAAGGCTCTCAACTAGTTAATGCATTACAATGTCAATTTCCCCTTTCTGGATATTCACATTCCACATCAAATGCTGTGAATGACATACTTCCACCCTAACTTGATTAGCTTAATAAACACAAGCAACTTCTTCCTTTTATTTATTTATTTATTTATTTATTCATTCATTCATTCATTCTCTCTCTCTCTCTCTCAACTTCCACTCCAAGTGGTTTTTCCCCACAAAAGTTTATGCCCTAATAAATCCTTTAGTCTCTAGGGGTACGTCTACTCTTATTTCACAATAACTAGATTTGAAATAACTCCCAAAATAGCATACCCCCACTACAGGGGAGCCTCAAAATTAATCCGAAGCAGGTTTCATTACTGTGAACACACTACCTCGACTAAGAGACCCATGAAGCACTGGGGAGTAATTACTTCAAATTACTCTGGGAGTAGTTATTTTGAAATAGCAGAAATGGAGCAACCACACTAACACTATTTCAAAATAAGCGTTATTCCCTGAGGAAAAAAGCAGGAGTACAGATTTCAAAATAACTAGCTCGCTATTTCAAAATAACGGGCTTGGTAGTGTAGATGCTCTGCTTATTACTTCAAAATAAGGGGAGACTAGGGATGTTAAATATCGGTTAACTTAATAGTCGATTAACCTCGTGAATTCTTATCAGTTACGTGACTATTTCATAGTCCCTGGGGGTGCGCCAGCAGCCAGTGGAACTCCAGCCCCACTCCCGAGGAGCCCTCTGTCATTCCACGCCTCTGTATCACGAGCCAGGACTGAGCTGGGCTGCTGGCTAGCCTGCTAAAAAATGTACTGGTGATATGTGGGAGGGTAGAATGCATGCAGTCTGTAGTATTAACCGATAAGCTTTGCTTATCGGTTAATTGACGACACTATTACATCCCTAGTGTAAACCAGGGCTAACATGCCATAGGTCTCTTTGTTTATGCCAATTTCCTGTAAATTTTAATTAAGCTAGTCTTCCTTAAGCCAACTTTCTCATGATGATTACTACTAGCATCAGTAACAAATGGCAACCTAAGTTCAATCTTATTTGAGCAAAGGAAAGGATACTAATTCTTATAAGACTGTACCTAAGATACCAGATATAGTCCTGGATGCTGACTTACAACAAAGACAATTCTTGACACATTGGAGTAAATTAAGAGAAAAGCAAGAAAAAAGGATTAAATAGCTGGAGGAAGTAATCATACAAATGTAGAAATGGAAGGGATCTTGGAAGTTACCAGGTCTAGCCGCCTGTAATGTTATCCAGATAGATTTAAAAGAACTAACAGTATAGTTTGCCTACGTAAATAATAAGCTGGAGATGTGAAAATGAAATAATTCAACCATTTAAACACCAAAAGGGGATTCAAGAATTATACTTCATGGTTCAAGAGGGTATGTATGTATGTATGTATAACTATGTTCATTTATTTCATCCCAATGTGTAAAATGTAATATCACAACCTACTAGGCACACAATGCAGATTAAAAAAAGACAAATTAACACCTCAGTAAGTACTCAAAACTCTAAGTCAAAAAAGAGATTTCAGACAGCTTTACAGTGCAACCTGAATGGCAATAAACTTTAGTTCTGTACTTCCCCCACAGTTGACACTGTGGAGCAACAGTGAGAGAAGTCAAGTTGATTACAGCAGTCAGACTAGGGTATGAAATAGCCAATATTCAGAGAGCCCTGCTTATCTACTTTATATCTGTGGGTATTGACATCCGCAGATGTGACTATCGGCAGCTCATTTTTGTAGATACATATGTGGATATGGATAGAAATTTTAGAGCCCTGCGTGGACACAAAGATTCAAACCACATATGGTTTAATAAGTTAGTCAGTTGTATCCAAATGCCCCCGACGCAAAAAAAAAATAGGTCAGTATGCTGACTGCAGTAAAATGTACAATATGCTAAATATCTGTTAATGCAGAATAGGGATGTGAAGGACTAGTCGACAAGTTGCTCCCTCCCTTTTGCTGCCTCTATCAGAAAGAGGCAGCGGGAGAGAGGGGAGAGAAGGGTGTACTTCGAAGTGGCAGCGCTGAGTTCAGCCTGGGGCCAGACCCCGGGTTCCACACGGCGCTGCCACTTTCAAACGCTGCCTTGGGAGCCTGGAGTCAGGCACCTCCCAGCATTTCAAAGCGGCAGCGCCACGTGAAGCCCAGGATCAGCGGGGGACTCCCTAGCTGATCCCGGGCTCCGTATGGTGCTGCTGCTTTGAATCACTGGGCTCCAGCGGCAGCATTTCAAAGTGGCAGCGCCGTACAGAGCCTGGGGTCAGCTGGGGAGTCCCCACCTAACCCAGGGTTCCACATGGTGCTTCACCTTTAAAGTGTAGCAACAGCCCTAGGGCTGTTTCTACACTTCAAAGGCAGAGATGCCCTGACGAATAGTCAAATAGTGGATACAAAATGCACCGACTATTTGATTAGTCAATTATCCACAATTTAGCATCCCTAATGCAGATGTAGAGCAGGCAATAGTTTATAAGTCACTGAAGAAAAGTTCAGTGCTTAATATTTAAAAGCTGAATAAAGTAGAAGTGGAGGGAAGGACTTAGCAACAAAGAACACCTTTTTATAATACCTGTGTTAAAAAGGAATAAAAAATGTTGTCCTGGCAAATGATGGGATGTGAAGCCACACGTACTAGAAAGTTTTCCAAACCAATCCTTCGTCTCTCCACAAAGTCTGGATCCATATTATCTGCTGATAACTTATGCCAAACAAACTCAGCCTGTGTGAACAGAATAAAGTTAAAAGCAGCTAAATTCAATGCTACATATAAAGCAAAGTGAGCTGAAATTTCAACTTTTTTACCCTTTTTTCTGGCAAAGGTGGAACAACAATATGTGGATAGTTAACTAACAAATAATTCCTCAGCAACTCAAATTCACTGTATCGCCTCCAAAGTGAGTCTGGTGGGGAGCATTGTCCTTCAGTCTGTGACTCAACAGCTCTGAAAAATAAAATACCCAAACACAGCATTACTGATACTTGTCCAAGATGATCAGTACAAGTGTAACAATTCAGACAAATAGCAACACCCCACTTGTGATTACTGTAATAATTTAACATTATTCCACATACTTCCGTACTTAAGATTATTTTTTTTAAAAAAGGACACCAAGTTATTTCACAAAGCTACCTGAACCTTCTTTTAATCCTTTTACTGATAAAGGATCCCCCAAGATTTCTACATTTACCAGTAACTGGAAGATTTAAGATTCCCTCTCCCTCCGCCACCCCTTTTCCTCCTGTTTGTTTACTTTTTGCATTTCGCTTCACTCTGCAGCTAGTTAGTTAGGGCCCATTCACCAAACAGTTATGCACATGAGCATCTGTGCTCAAGCGAGTGAAGTCATTAATCACAGCAAGTAAGGACTGTGGGTTCAATCCTCTAAGGATCTGCTAGCTTTTGAGTCCCACTGACTTTGGGAGGGAAGAGGGAGTCCAAGGCCCCTCAGAACTTCATTTAGCACCTTGCAGGATTGAGCCTTGAGACTTCAAGATGGTGTCTTCCATATTCAAAGGATTTAAGAGTATACAATACAAAAAAAATCCCTAAGCCACCCCCCACCCTCCAAAAAAAAAAAACAGCTAAAGGTAAGACAATCAGGTGCAACAAGTAAAGTGGTCAGAGCAATTAATGTTTGTTAATACAACTCTTCTCCCCTCCACCCTGAAAATGCTGTATTGTTATTTTAATTAAATATCTAATATATCCCAACTGCCCCTCAGCTTTTGCTATTATTAGTCAGTTAGCTTTCTGACAGCAGCATGGTAGAAGAGCATCCTCAGATGGGATTTAAATGTGGAAAGAGTAGTGGCCTTCTAAATGATTCTGAGGAGTGTTCCATGCATGTAAAAAGCAGCATGGAAAGAAAGTGCAGATATGGATGAAAAACCCTGAATGTTGTAGCAAGTACTGTTGGTGACTCCCTAGCATTCTCTTTGAGTCAATATAGTAAGAAGACATTGTGCCATTAAAAATGCTAATTATTTAGAAAATATAAACCTGAAATCTTTACTACTAGAGGTTATTCAGGATTCCATGTCTTTACATTTGTACACTTTGCTAATTTCAGTGTAATTATATGCTACATATATATTTAATTGGTAATATATTCTATATATTTAATTTACTTCCTGTGATAAAATTGTTTTACTGTGCTGTCATGCACTTTCACACAGCTGACTTGTTCAGTCCCAAAAGCGACTGTATTTCAATTGAGTTTAAAGAATTTCTGTATTGCTACAGATTGTAAAGCATTCTGGGATCCTTCGGGATGAAAAACAATATATACACATATTTATAATAAAAAAATTATGCACTATATTTACTCCCTCCAACACACACAGGAAATTCTGTCCTTATGCAACAGTACATGTTAGAATATAACCGGAAAATATTGCTGATATATTGCTCACCATCTAGTGAGACATGCAGAGAGAAAACAGTGCCCTCAAAATGTGCAGACCTATAGTAGACTTAAAAATATCACTGCTTTTTTATTAAGTGACCAAATTTAATTTTTCTAAGCAGTAGTAAATGCATTCTGGGACTGCTGGTATAAACTTACAGCAAATACTATTAACTCTGCCATGGGATTACCAGCTGTAAGAACTAAATGATATTCAGCAGCACAGTGCACTGTTTTTTCCAGCAGATTTAAAGCTGTACAATGTCAAGTTTGAACCTGTTTCTATCCATTATTTCTAGCTGTACAGAAGTTTTTTAAAGGCATCTAAAGAACTAAGAAAACATTATCTGATTTTTTTCAAACACAAAATTCTAAGTTACAAGGTTAAATTCCAATCAACTTACGAAAGCTATTTAGTACATTAAGACAGTAACTCTACATGATCAACATTTGAACTCTGAAAAAGACATCGCCACCGCAAAATCCTTGTTCAGTATTGTTGTTTCACTCTGCATCATATTAATGATTTAACAGTGTATTAAATAAACGGACTTTAAACAACAGAGTCTCCACTATCACTACTTCCTTCCCTCCTGTGGGCAAAGTATGTTTTTAATCAGGATGCTTAAAGCTTTACTTCAAATAATTGAAATCACACACATGATTTCCACAGGAAACACAAAACAATAAGATACTAATTCATAAACATTCCGACACACAAAACTGCCGCTGATTGCAAACAAAACTAGATGAGCACTACCTAAGCCAGAAAACAATCAAATTGCTAACAGACACCAGTTTTATAAAACCGATCTAAATCAAACTGCAGCTTTATCCAATAACATTGCCACAGCATCAGAATCCATCTCCACTCTAAGGTCTATGCCAGGGTGGGCAAAACAGCCTCCGCGGGCTGGATCCAGCCTGCCAAGTGGGTGGATCTGGCCCACAGAGTCCTGCCCCCCTCCTGCCCCAATTAGAGCCTGGGGACAGGGGGAGCATGCGGTGCTTGGAAACACCAGGGCTGTGTCTAGACTGCATCCCTTTTCCGTAAAAGGGATGCAAATTAGACACATCGCAATTGCAAATGAAGTGGGGATTTAAATCCCCCCCGCTTCATTTGCATAAACATGGCTGCCGCTTTTTTCCGGCTCGGAGCTTTGCTGGAAAAAAGCGCCAGTCTAGACGGGGATCTTTTGGAAAATAAAGCCTTTTCCGAAAGATCCCTTCTTTTTTTTTTTATTTTCCAAAAGATCCCCGTCTAGACTGGCGCTTTTTTCCAGCAAAGCCCCCGCTTCATTTGCAATTGCGATGTGTCTAATTTGCATCCCTTTTACGGAAAAGGGATGCAGTCTAGACACAGCCCAGGTGCTCCTGGCATGGCGGGAGGAGGCTTCACATGCTTCCCCACCTCCAGGCCAATCAGGGCTTGAGCGTGTGCAAAGTTTCCTCCACTCTGACCATGCTCAGCAAGGAGCACTTAGAAGTGACATGCACTCCTGGCTGGGCGGAAGGAGACTTCGCGCGCTCCCCCGCCCCCAGGTCCTGATAAACCTGGGGCCCGGGAAGCATGGAAAGTCTCCTCCCAGCCAGGGTCATGGGCACCTAGGCTGAAGGGGGAGCGGGCAAAGGTGCTCCCCCACCTCCTGGCCAATCATGGTCTGAGGGTGGGAAACCCGGAAGTATCCTGGCCCCACCCCTTCCACTCGAGGCCCCTCCCCCCTTCATGGCCTACACTCAAAATATGAGTCAACTTCAACTATGCTGTCTTTCACCTACCACAGTAATCAATGTGGGGTTCACATCCATGCTGCCCTACTTTGGTCAACGGTGCATAGGGTTGCCTGCTCTTCAAGATTGGCCTGGAGTCTCCCAGAATTGGTACTAATCGCCCAGTGATTAATGAAAACAATCCTGCAGATGTTAATAGGATAGCTCAAAAAAAAAGAACATTATGTTATGTTGGAAAAAGCACACTGACATGAGCCCTACGCTTCATAAAGAGGTAGAATTATAATGTTACTGTAACAAGACACTTACATTTGTAGGAATAAGTCTGTAGTTTGTACAATGACACAGGTCAACGTCAGCTGCCTTACGCTGACCTGTGTAGCATAGACCAGGGTTAAGGCATAATCAGTTGTACTCAATTTATGCATGAGCCCAGCCTCTAGCAATACAGGTATGAAAGGCAGTGCAGTACTCAGAATTCACAGCAAACATTTCTCATTTCTTGGAAGTTGCAAGGTAGTTTTTCCTTGGGAGTGGGGGAAGAGCATAATTATAATTAGTATCAATGGCATTGCTGGTGACAAAAAAGTGACAGTGTGTAAACCAATAACTAAAAGAATTAAATCAGTACTACTGCAATATAGAGAAACTGACTTACAACAGAAAAACTTTAGGGATCATTCCTGAGCTTTTTATGGAGTAATAACTTCCAGTAGAATTCAGCAAGTAATTCCCCATTGATGACCCTCAGTAGGGAGTTCAGGATTTGGTCATCTGCATTTAAAACAATGTTAAGTATTCCAATATTTAAACACATCAGCTTACATGCTTTTAAAGCTGAAGATCACTTCAACTACAAACTGTGGCCTCCTCCAATGATACTGTCACAACAGCTCTGTCACTCAAGCAACACTGCCACCAATGAGATGCAACTTTATTGTAAGCCATGATGGAGAAGGAAGAGGAAACTGCCAAAAGACTATACGGAAAAGTGCCTGGAACCAGAAGGCCACATTTAAGTGGAGTAGATCAGCCATCATCTGACTAAGGGGGAAGTGGGTACAGATTCCTGCAGTAAGTTCTCTCTTGGTCTGATAACAGGACATCTCTGTTACAGAGGGTGGTTTATATTATAAGACTGTGGTCCACCCTCTTTCTTTTTTTTTCCTATATCTTCCCACTACTGTTCAAGTTTTTCTAGTCAAGCAATGTTTGATCTTCATTGAAATATTGGGATATTTTTAAAATTATACTGTCTCGAATAACAGATGACACATATGTTCAATCTTTTGGGAGTGAATTCACTGGGTCTCAGAATAAAAAGTTATAAAAAAATATGTATGCACAAGACAATGTTTTTTTATGTTTACTGCTTTAAGGGCTCCAGAGGGCAAAATACTGCTTAAAGGACCCAAGCTCCTCTACAACTTAAATACACTAAGAGAGCAAAAGTTCTTTTTAAAATTATCAAGTTGTTTTTAAGGCCAAAAGGTAACAATCTTGGATGAATTCCTGAAGAATACAAATGATATTAATTCAAAATGCAGTCAAATTTACACCGTCTCAGATGATCTTTGAACATTTAGTAGTAGTAGTAATTTTTCAAATTAGACAAAACTTAACTTCTTTCTTATTTATAAATTTCTGCTCATGATGGGGGACAAAAAAATATTACCTGCTTTCTTTCACAGGTGACTATTAAGACCCTCCGGAAAAGGGCACTTTTTCCGGAGGATCGGGGCCAGTGTAGACGCTCTTTTCCGGCTTTTTTAAAAGCCGGAAAAAAACGGCGGACCTTTTTATT